ATAATACGAGACCCTAGTAAGGCCTACCTCCCCCGTCTACTTTATCGACGGGGCCGTTGTGCATCTAAGCTCCTATGAGTAAAACTACAGAAAAATTAGGTTCTTTATTGAGGATTTAAACTTATTCTAGTCTATTTTAATTCATAACTTTTACTACATTTTATTATTCTATACTTTAACTTATATTCTAATATTCTATGGGTCTGTCGCAGGGGTCGTTTGATGAATATCAATTATAATTGTTGTTATTTATATTTTTAGTTAAAGTATACAACAATAACATCTACTACATAGGAGAAACATTTATTTCACATACGTGTTTTGGTGCTTAAATAATGATAATAATTATATAATGCTGCAACGTGGTTTGTACATGGTTTGTACACAACAGAATTTCAATTTACAATTTTTATATACTATGATTACTAACTAAAATATTTACATTCTTGTTTAGCTTAATTTACTCTTATTTTCTTTAAGTAATGTTGTGACTATTTTTGTCGCATAATTTTCAAAGTGGCGTCTAAGTTCTGCATTGTTCATTACTTGCGACAAGTCCTCCATCGTTATTTTACCCGTTCCGATAACTTGTTCGAGGTCCAGCCTTGCTAGTGCGTGGCGCGGACACTCAAGAAGACAGTGTCTTACGTCTTGGGTGCTTTGTTGGTCGCAAGGGCACGTCGGGTCCCCTTTACACTTAAACCTATGCAGGTATTCGGAGAACCCACCATGCCCCGTGAGCATCTGCGTTAGCTTATTAGTAAGTCTGCCATTCTTGAAAGCCCTGTACGCTTGCTCCGGTGATGAGAAGAAGATCTTTGTGACAGATGCATTTTCGGAGTTCTGATATCGTGTTTGCCACTCCGCCTTGGACTTTTCTCTGAGTAGACGTTTTACATACGATATGGGGCAGGTGTTGTAGTGTGGTTTGCATTTAAGGTTAAGGGCTGCTTCTTTTGCAGCCGTGTCTGCAGCTTCATTTCCCTGGAGTCCTGCATGTGCTTTAACCCAGTATAGTTGGACTTCTTGACCTGCCTCTCTACAGCTCTCAATCTTCTTCCTTGCTTCGTGGGCGAGTCGGTTTTTGGTTCTCGTGCTGATTATCGCCTCTAGAGCCGACCTTGAGTCGCTTAGAATGGCGGCTTGCCTTTTTCCCGATTTTCTGAGTACCTCCAGTGCCGAGTTTATTGCGAGCAGCTCCGCCTGATACACCGAGCAGTGGTTTGCAAGTTTGTACTTTTTAGTTTTATTCTCACCGTCGTCTATCAATACTACCGCCGCGCCGGTCTTTCCTTCTATTTTACTGCCGTCTGTGAAAATCTTGGTCTCAGTTTCAATAGCTGCTATCTCTTCCTCCGTATGAAGCGGTGTGTAGCCTGTTCTCAGAGCTTTGGCTGGGTGTGGGCCTTCGGTATATGGAACCTTCTTTTCGACTTCTATGTCTTTAAGCTCCGGGAGCGTGCCATGTTTTCTGGTTTCATAAAGCGCTGCAGCTTCTTTGAGTCTAAGATCGAGTGGGAGCAGTCCAGCCAGTACTGTGGCTGCCTCGTATGACACCGTCCTGTATGATCCTATAATCTTTTGGGCAAACTTGCGTTGGATCGTTTTTAGCTGGGCTTGTACACTTAGCTTTTTACCAGCCGGGGCCCATGCGGCTGCCGCATACAGAGTGATCGGTTCCACTACAGCTGTGTACACTGTCCGCGTAATTTCCGGGTGAATGCCCCATGTGGTCTTGGCTGCTCTGTCTACCCTTTTGAAGAGATCTATGGTCTTTTTAGTAATTTGTGCTACGTGTGAGTTGAAGGTGAGTTTATCGTCGATGATCAGCCCCAAAATCTTCACTTCTTTACTCATTTTTATATTTTCGCCTGCCATTTTGAGTTTTGGGGTGTCGTAATTTTGTTTCCTGGTGAGGAGTATGGCGTTTGTCTTTTTTGGTGCAAATTTTAATTTATTCAGTTCTCCCCATTTCCTTACTATTTCGAGGGCCTCGTTCGCGTTTCGCTCTATGTCGATGGCCTCGTACGCATCAAACATTAAGACTATGTCGTCTGCGAACGCCTGCACCCTGGTGCCCGCCTCTCGTAAGGTGTTTAAGAGTGGGTCCAGTAGCAGGTTCCAAAGGATGGGTCCACCTATAGAGCCTTGTACGCACCCTTTTTCTGGGCATTTTATAATTTCGACTTCCCCATATCGCAGTCTCACTCGTCGATCTGTCAGGTAACTGTCGATGACTCTCCTCAGGTTCACAGGACAATTTTCTTCCGCCAGTCTTTGCCTTATACGTGGCCACCACGCATTATCGAACGCACCCTCTATGTCCAGCGAGACCAAGGTTACTAATTTTTTGCATTCGATTGCTCTTCTTGTGTAACTCACCAGTGCATAAAGTGCGTCCTCTGTACTCCTTTGTGGCATAAATCCAAATTGATACAGGCTGAGTTTGGGTACTAGGTGCCACTTGAGTCGGTTTTTCATAAATTTTCCCCATTACTGGTAAGAGTCCAATAGGCCTGTATGATTTGGCTGTGCTATAGTCGTCCCTTGCTGGTTTTCTCAGCACTACCACTATAGCCTCCTTCCACATAATGGGGAAATATCCAAGCGTTAGGCTTTTATTTACAATGGATAAGTAGGTTTCCGGCCGCGCCATTATTACTTCCGCACAGATATCCGAAGTCAAGCCATCTCCTCCGGGGGCCTTTTTGGGATTGAAACTGTTGATCACTTCAACGAGTTCGCCCATGGTAAATGGTGGATCCAAAGTATCGTTTTGACTCCACATATTTACCTCATCTGCGTTTTCACGAGTCTGTTTGTGATCAACAGATTCCGCTGCCATGTCGTCTGAGGGGTAGAAGGTGTCAGCCAGGTACTGTGCCGAATCAACCATGGTTAACTGCTCGCCATCTTTTGTAAGAGGGACATCTTCTTTCCTCTTTTGTGATTTATTGAGGACTCTATAAATGCCCTCCCACATACCTTCCCTAGTTTGCCTCGTGCAATATTCTTTCCAACTTTGTACTCTAGCCTTTTCTACTTCTTCTTCATATCTCGTTTTTGCTTCCAGGTATTCTTCGACTACCATCTGTCTCCTCTCCGCTCTTGCACATCTGATCCGTCTTTTCTTGGTGGTCATTTCTCTTTTGAGCGTTTCTAATTCTTTGTTCCACCACGGCACTTTGTAGTTTGCTATCCTTTTCACTTTTGGAATCATCCTATCGCATTCCTCAGTGACCACTGCAGTGAACTGTTTAATTTTGTCTTCTAAAATATTGCAATTTGTAATTTTGTTAATTTCCGAGTCATTAATTTTCTCCATCAGGAGCGACTGACTAATTTTAGCTCGGAATAGTGTCCAATCTGCTCCTTTGGTTTTATATACTCTCGTGGTCTTTTTTGTATGTGGTTCATTTGTTTTCTCTAATTTGACTTCAAAAGTGATGGCGTTGTGGTCGGAACTGGTGATGCTCCTGTCCACTCTCCAGTTGTTGATTTTGGATGTTAGGTCAACTGTGCAGGCAGTTATATCCGGTACTCCGGTGTAAAGCTTTTGGCCTCTTATCGTCTCAAAAGTTGGTGTATCACCCACATTTAATAAATCCATATGATTTTCTGATAAAACCGCCTCCAGCGCATCTCCTCTTTCATCATTTTTCCCAGATCCCCACCATATGTTTTTGGCGTTCCCATCGCCTGCTATGATACTTCTTTTCTTTCTTATTTTTCGGCTAAGTTCTTCTAGGTAGGGTTGTATGGCGTGGGGTTTCGGTTCGAAGTAGAAGGAGGTTAGATGAACTTCTCGTGGCCAGTTACCCACTTTGATTGTAACAATATTTGGGGTAGGTGTGCCCACTAACTCAGCCTTCAGGGATTGATCGAAGACTATTATGGCCGCCTTGGTCCGTACAGCGCTATCTAAGACCTGAAATACCCTTGCTCCGGCATAGCCTTTGATTTGTGTTCCTGCACCAACATATGGCTCCTGTACAAGAGCTAAAGCCGCTTTCCGTTTGACTGCTTCCTGCATAAGTTCTTGCATTGCCAGGTCCTTTCTTTGTAGATTTACTTGTATCAATTTGTACGTATGTTGTGTTGGTTGGACTCTGGCTTAGCAGTATGCATAACTCTGTCTGGCCGCTCTGTCCCATCCCTTCCTGACTGGGCAGTCGGTGCTGAAGGCACTATGGTCATTGTTGCCTGTTTCTCCTTTGTCTAAGCAGTTTAAGCACTTTGGTGGTTTGCCTTCATTGTAATCTGGGCATTTTTGTCTTAAATGTGGTCCGCCACAGTGGCTACATAGCTCACTTTCTTGCTTGCAGAACTTCCTGCTGTGACCGAATCCTAGGCATATTGTACACTGCACGAGTGGCGACTGGTCCTCCACCCACACTCTTTGTATGTCCACGTGGATTTTTCCGGCTGTCGTAAGAGCTCTCCACATATTTGGCGAGACTTGTAGCACTACGTGGTTTTCATGTGGGTTTCGGCATTTCCGTCTGTACTTTTCTGCAATGTGCCAATCTTTTTCGTCTTGTAGGTGAGCCGTAATCCCTTTATTTTGATTCTTTAATGATTCGACTATGTCTTCAATTGATATATAGCTAAGAACATTTTTAATCTTTACCAGGGGGTTTTTATTAGACACATCTTTGACTTTTAAGGGGATTTCCCCTTGTGTCAGCCTTTGTTTAACGCTTTTTATTTCTCCCTCTGTTTTGCAACCTACCACGACCTTTCCATCTTTAGCCTTCTTAATTCTTTCTACCTGAATTCCGCCCTCTTTTGCTCTTAGGTTTTTTTCTAATGTGTTGCAGAGTGACTTCCGACGTATCGGTTGTGTTATTGGGTTCTACCACGACAGAATGTAGTGCGGTTTTCTTTATTTTATTATCCGCTTGGCCGATAGGGCCATAACTTATTTGTCCCTTCGCGAGGGTGACTTCCGCATAGGTTTTAACTCTTTCTTCCATTTTCTTTTCTCTCTCTTCTTCTCTGAGGGCTTGTTTACCCAGTTCGTTCTTTAATTCAGACAGTATCCGTTCCTCTCTCTTCTCTGTTTGTTTTTGGATTTTTAGCCTACATTCTTCAAGTTTTTTATTCTCCTCTTGCAGCCTTCTTATCTGCATTTCCAATTTCACTTCTAGTTTATTAGTTGAAAACAACTGTTCCTCCTCATTCTCTGTTGTTTCCTGCAAGTATTTGTTTTTTAAATCTTCTTCGGCATCTTTCACAAGTTGATAGAGGCGCTTTATGGCTTTAGAGACTCCTGTTTTAATTTCTGTCTTCAAGTTTCTTGAGTCCCCCAAATGGGCCATTGCTTTCAGCAAGCAGTTTTTGGCTTCCATTATTCTCGGTGTTTTCTTCCCTGAAGATATAGGAGAAGCCTCCCCTCTTTTACTCGCTGTTGCAATGGCTTCATTTTTCCTGTTAGGGCTCGTATTTGTGGCCTGCTCCCCTGAGTCAATATTACATCTTATTTCCGGGGTAGAAGCCTCTGCTTTTCTGTCTGGTTGCCTTTGTGGGTGGGTTTTTGGAGGTGTTCGGATACCCATCATCTTTACTACTACGATCTTAATTTGACGCTTTGCGCACCAGTATCGCAGCCGCAATCCTCTCCCTGAGTCTCGAGGAGTCGAACAAGCCGTCTCACTTATGTGTTTGTGTGTGAATTTATGTCTTAGTGTGTGTGTGTGTGTGATATCTGCGTGTGTGTGTGTGGTTGCGTTGCGAGTGGGTTCAATCGACTCGCCTTTTTACGGGGAGTCGATAGAGCCGTCACACGTGTGTGTTCCGTGAGGTTGCAGTTTTGCTCCCCCAGGGGGATAGGGTGCGGAGATTTTGTGGGATCTGGGGGTGGGTGGATTGGCAAGCAGTTACAGTAGGGTGATCCTAGTTCTAACTCAAACGCTAAAATATGTCGGGAAAGGCGGTCCCCTGTGGAGATGTCAGTGGGGGGGTGGAGGGGAAGGGTGTGGGGTATGGTTAGATAGGTCCTAATTAAGGCTTGTTTGCTGTGTATACGTATATACGTATACACGTCCACCGTTATTTTTACGCTATCTCTAACCGTTTTGGAGATATTTTACTTTAAAGAATATTCAAACTTTTGAAATTTTGAAATTTTTTCCAAATTTTAGGGATGAGGGGGAAAAATTTTTTAAATGTTGGAAAGGGGTGGGGCACACGTAAGGGTTGATTTCGTATATTATATTAAATATAATATATACGAGGATGGGGTCAAAATTAGGCTAGGACGCACCGTTCCCGAGATATTCACGATTTTGTCCCGGTTTCTTCCCTTGGCTTTATCTCCGGTCCTAATGCTCCGATCTTCTATCTTTAAGCGTCGTTGAGTTGAGCTTGTTGTCGGCTTTCCAAGGACGTATCGCACCTTCTTTGAAAGTCCTGAATTCACCGACCACGTGCCACGTGGTTTTTGGAAAAACTTTAATAACTCCCCTGTTTCTTGTCCTAAAAATATGTTTTTGGTGTCGATTTGTAGGGCACGTTAGGGGCTATCGATGTCTTCTTTTTAATTTATATGTCACCGATCTTGTTTCTGAGATTTAGGCTCCAAAAGACGTAACTTTTTTCTTTTTGACCAAAAAAGCGTCAAAGTTTTTCTCGAAGTTTTTCTCGATATTGTATTTTATTCTCTACGTTTTTGCGCGTAGTTTGACGTATCGCACTTTGTTTTATCACGTCTCCTTCTGTAACCACGTGCCACGTGGTTTTTTGGTTTTTCTTATTTTTCTTGGAGACCGGCTCGCGGAAAAATCTGGATTTTTCCAAAGATGTGGTCCACAATAGGGCGCACCTTTTCCCGCTTTAGAATGTGGGGGTTGTCGCGAAGAATCGGGCGCCGCACGCGGATAATTGTTGAAAAACTTCGAAAAAACGGGTTTTTCCACTATAACTTCCACAATTTTTCATTTATCACAGCACGGTTTTCACTAATGTGTAGTGCTCACTTTTCCACACACTTTGGTGTATGACACGTCACTATTCGCACGAAAAATACCAATTTTGTGATTTTTTCAAAGCGGAGCTAACTGTTTCGTGACCGTCTAGGACCGCGGCTCGACTGCGACTCGGTTAGGTTAGGTTAGGTTAGGTTAGGTTAGGTTAGGTTAGGTTAGGTTAGCACTTTCGTTGCATTACGAGATCTATCAGATCTCTTGCAGGACTTTTGTATTGTGCGTTGAACATAATCGTGTTTTTTCACTCCTTGCGGGAGGATCTAACTTGTAAAGTTCTTTAAGTATGAGCAGGACAAATATATATATTTGCTTCCTATATGTCATTGTTTTTTTGGAAGATATAAATTATTTTCAAAAGTGTATTTTTAGGAGACTGATTAGGTCTCAAACGCACCAGAGGATAGGCTTGTTACGAGATCTTTTAGGTCTCCAAAGCACCAGCTGAAAGTTCTTTGAAAACGATGGCGCAGTGAACGTGTTAAGGTTTTTTTTTTTTTTTTTTTTCACCTAATGGCCTACTCCACGACACCGTCAGGTTCGTGGCCGAGGAAGCTATTCGAAAGGGGTTGTCTTTAATAAGCAAAGAAAATAACAATTTTTATATAAAGTATTTTACATAAAATTAGTTTAGGTCTGCAACAGATGGAGCTATGTGATACTTCACTTTCTGTTACAGACCTATTACACCTTAGGATATTATTTACTTACAGTGTAGTAAGATTATAATCTTAATATTAGTTTGAACTGACGTTAATAAATCGAATTTGTAACAAATAAAAATTACAGCTGTTCTTAGAAATTAGAGTTAAATGTACATATGAATTGTTTTATTACATTGAATAATCTTAGGTTAGGTTAGGTAAGGTTAGGTTAGGTTAGGTTAGGTTAGGTTTTTTTTTTTTTTTTTTTGCACCTAATAGGCCTACCTTCCCCGGCTACTTTATCGCCAGGGGCGTGGACTAAGCTAAACTTCCGTCATTTCTTACATCCATCCTCTAAATAATGTACAACACAACTTTATTTTTTTTATTAGGATTTTGCACATATCAATACGGTTTCGGTTACACTTTTTATTATCCTACTTATATCTATCTCCTTACTATCTATTTATCTTTACATTTCTATCACAGTCATTCTTTTATTTACCTACTTATATCTATATCCTTACATTAATTATTTTCAACACATTCCTATCCAGAGACGGGGCCCGCGACGCGGGCGGCTTTTACTTTTCCGTGAGTATTCTTATAATACTCATTGGCAAGTGGGCGCCGGCCGCCTCGCGGTCCCCGCCCCGGCCTTACTCTCATTGAACTTAGCTGTTCTTTTGGTAATTTTTTGGCAAAAATCCTCCAGGTGCGATCTGTTACAGACTAGCATGTCGGGCAGTCCCTGAAGACTAAGCGACATGCCTGTCATCTGTTCCAGGTCGCATCTGGAGGAGGCAAAAATGGGGCACTCCAAAAGTAGGTGTGGGATGGATTGTTCCACCCCGCTCTCACATTCGCAGTCCGGTTTTTCTTTCAGCCTGAAACGGCACAGGTACTCGGCAAAGGGCCCATGGCCTGTGAGGACCTGTGCCATCCCGGGACTGAATCTTTTCTCTCGGATTTGTTTATGTGCCCTTGTAATATTTGGCAGGAACAATTTGGTTATTCCCCCTGTTATCCCTTCCTTATATCTTCGATCCCATTCTTCTATAGTTTTTCTTCTCACTTCTTTCCTGATGTATGAGAGCGGGTACTCTACGTGAGCTGCTTTGACTTTCGAGGTCTCCGCAGCGGCTCTCGCGAGTTCGTCCGCCCTCTCATTCCCCTCCGTGCCGACGTGCGCTTTCACCCAGTGGAGCTTAATATTCTGGCCCTTTTTAAGGCTCTCCACCAGGTGTCTGCGGATCTCGACTACTCGGGGGTTTCGAGAGCGTCCGCCCGCAATCGCCTCGAGCGAAGACCGCGAGTCGCTGCAGATGTTCACGTCAGTACCCGCTATCATCGCCTCCCTCACTGCACCGACGAGAGCCGCCAGCTCTGCTTGATATACGGTGCAGTAAGGGGCCATCTTTATCTTTTTCCATTTTCGCTCTCTTCCTCCTTCCCATTTCGTCCATGCTGCTCCTACTCCTTTTTCTGTCTTACTTCCATCCGTATAGATTGCTGTTGTGTCGTCATTATGTATTAGGCCAGGGTCATTGGTGATGGCGAAGCTGATCTCCGGTTTTTCCGCGGGATGGGGTTGTTCTAACGCAGGTACGGCTCGCTCAATCCGGTCTCCTTCGCGTATGAACGGAGACGACCCCCTTCTGGCCTCAAACATCGCGGCGGCTTCTTCCACCCTGAGGTCGAGGGGCAGTATCCCCGCCAATAGCGTCGCGGAATTTAGCGATGCCGTCCTGTACGTCTTCGCTATTTTTTGTGCGAAAGCCCTCTGCACCGTCTCCAGTTTCTTCCTTGTGCACAGTTTCTTAACTGTCGGTGCCCAGGCTGCCGACGCGTATGTTACTATCGGCTCTATGACGGCTTGGTATACCTGGTGAACCATGTCTCCCGTCATTCCCCATTCCAGCTTTGCCATTCTAGCTACTTTTTTGTGTATGTCTGCCGCCTTTCTCGTGACATTTTGCACATGCTTGTTAAACGTTAGCCCTTCGTCTATAGTCAACCCCAGTAATTTAATTTCCTTCTCTAATGCTATATCCTGTCCATTCATTCTTATTCTTGGGGTATCGAACTTCAATCTTCGCGTCAGGACCATTGCTTTGGTTTTTTGTGGCGCGAAGTTGAGCTTGTTCTCGATACCCCACTTCCTCACAAACTCGAGGGCAACGTTTGCTCGGTTTTCGATGGAGTGCGTGTCCGTTCCGCTGAACATCAGCACAACATCGTCTGCGAAAGCTTGTGCGTATGTCCCATCCTCTTCTAGTTCGACCAGTAGTGGGTCGAGCAAGATGTTCCAGAAAGTGGGGCCGCTAATCGAGCCCTGAATGCATCCCTTTTCAGGTTGCCTCACATGCTCTCTGTTTGCGTAGCGGACCACCACCTTCCTGCCTTTGAAGTAGTCTTCCACTACCAGCCTTAGTTGCTTGGGACAGTCTTTCTTTGCTAGTTGGTACTTGATCGCCGGCCACCATGCGTTGTCGAAAGCCCCCTCGATATCTAGCGACACCATCAGCACTATTTCCTTGTTATTTATGTGGCTCCTCGCTTTTGTCAAGATATCGTAGAGGGCATCCTCCGTGCTTTTCCCTGGCATGAATCCATACTGCCTCCTGCTCATCCTGGGGAGTAGGCTGTGTCTGATCCTGTTGATGATCACCTTTTCTAGGATCTTCCCCATGACTGGCAGGAGACCTATTGGGCGGTAGGATTTGGCGGCCGCGTAATCCTCCTTTCCTGGCTTCCTCAGTACCACTATCGTGCATTCCTTCCATAGATCAGGGAAGCATCCCACTTCGAGGCATTTATTGAAGATGGCCAAGGGAACCTCCGGGTTCGCCGTGATAGCTGCGCAGCAGATATCCGCAGTGAGTCCGTCAGCCCCCGGGGCCTTCCTCGGGTTGAAGCTTCTAGCAGTGCTGA